ACACCTTTCAAATAATGCAGTTATGTTTCGATTGCCCACACCCACTGATTTTGCAAGGCAAACAACCTGCTGTACCTGCAGGGCAACTTCGGAGACTAGAACTGATTCTTAGTTACAATAGCTGCTGCTACAACTGACAAATACTAACAAACAGAAGAGTTCAGCTGTGTATTCATTGTATGTTAATGTCTTGCCTGGAACTTCATTTCTAGGACCTTGATGTGACTGTTTACTCCATGTAGCAACCATAAAGAGGTTCCCACACTCTTAAAAATAAGGGATCGAAAAAGGGGTTTTCACAGTGATGCCATAGAACAGGGGTGCCCAACCCTGCTCCTGGCGATCGACTGTCCTGCAAAGTTCAGCTCCAACCCTATCAAACACACCTGAAGCAACTAATTAGGGTCTTCAGGATCACTTAAAAATTAAAGGCAGGTGAGCGGCTATCGTCCTCTTTTGGAAGACCAAACAAAGTAGTTTCGCTTTCACAACGAAACACACAGCGCCTTCACGACATGGCGGCAGCAACAATACTACAGCGAGAATAAAAGTTACGCCTTCTTTCTTTGCGTGAACATTTGGATGGCGTTATGCAAATCTTCCCACATCCTGATGTAGACGTGGGGGCGTGTTAGAACGAGCCGTTTTAGGTAGGCGTGGTTGACTCTTAACTTTTATAAAGAATATCTCTTTGGATTTGAGACTTTAGTCTTTGCAACTTTACAGATCTTCTTTATGCACCAAGAGCTTGTAACACGCCAAAGAGAAAGGAAAAATTGAAATCGCATCATATGACCCCTTTAAAAGAACATTTTTTTTCTTAGTATGAAAAACATTTTAATAATCTAAATTAAAAAAAGACCCCATGTCCACTATATACAACCTTTTTTAATGTATGGATGTTAAAGGTTCTTCATAGAACCACAGATGCCAATATAGAATGCCTTTTGTTTTTAAGACTGAAAAAGAAATATACATCCATCATGTATATATCCAGCATTTGTTATACTGCCTTTAATAAAATGTTTTTTTATTTTTTTATTTATTTGTTTGTTTGTTTTAAAAGTCATTGAAAGCCAATACTTTTTTCTCCCATTTGATTTTGGTGTGAATTGTGGCCAGGGCAATTCCTAAGAGGTTTTGTGAGATTTATCCAAAAAATGTTTGGTGAATATGCTGCTTTTCCTAAAATTAAAATCTGCTTCAAAATCTTGTTTAGGATGGGCAGATGAACTTTTACATAAACATGAATTATAATCATTAAATTCTGACCACAATGTATTGCATAGTCCTGTAAAGTTTGTGTGGTCATTTTGTATCTTTTCATATCAGTACAGTCCCCTCAAGGATCTCGGGACAGAATGGGAGTGTCTGGTTGACTTAGTGGGAAGGTGTGATATGTGTGTTTGGCGTTGTACAGAGTTGCTGTTTTATCCTTTGTACCCTAATGAGGCTAACTTCCACTTGTGACAACAACACACATTTAGATAGTGTGCATGTATCGGATAGAGACCATAATTGTGTAATACTGCATATTCCTTGACCCATGGGTGTGGTTTCTGAGTACTACAGCCGTGGATCACGAGATATGACAGGTCTGTTGATAACAGCAGAGTTGTCAGATGATAATGCTGATGTTATACAGGAGGAGACGCTTAATCTACATGTCATATCTGCTGTACGTTACATCGATAAAAGTGTTGCCAAGCTACAAGAGTTGCTAAACCACCTTTTCCCCTGTAGCAAAATCACCCTTCCTCCTCTTTTATTAAACACAGGGGGCTGTATGAGATGAGTTACCACTTTTGCTTGTTGGTCACATGAGCAAGTTCAAAGAAAGCTGTCTTTGGGTTGGCATGGTGGTGTCGTGTGCTCTCGTTGTGGTTCATGTGCATCTTCACACTTTGGATCCTCTTTGCAATGCACATGAAACCATTAGGCCTAGTTGTATATTTGATAACCTTTTTCTGGCCAATCCTTAGAGGTGTGGTTCTGTTTTTACTATTTTTCAAAGTAAAATAGTGATATGACCAAGCATGTGCGTTGGCCTTGAGGAAAGAGGAAATTGAGCTTGTGGTCTGTGTGTAATTGTATTTTATTTTTTTCTCGAGGGACAGGACGTTGAGCTCAAGTGAGGATGAGCAATAGATCCTAAGATACACCGTGTTTATGTTTCATGTTCTTGTATCTGGGATTGTTCTGTGGAACTAGAATCTTTTATTACGAAAAAATGTACAAAATAAGCATGAATGGGGATATAGTGATTCAGTGCACTGACTGTAAAAGCTGAAGAGCTTGTGTTTATGCTAGTGGTTTTGTTAGCGGTTTTAGATTTGTACCCAAGTGTTTGTTGATATGCATTTGTGGGCCACTTTCAATAAGACAGGAATGAATGCCGGCTTAATGAATGTCCTGTGACCAGACACACACTCAGTCACTCTGTTTTCAGTTTAACATAATAAACAGATGCTGTCGTGCATCGTGGGTAACCCGGAATAGTTGTTTACAGGAATTATTCACCCAAAAATGAAAATTTGCTGAATATTTACTCACCCTCAGGCCATCCAAGTCAAGATGTAGATGAGTTTGTTTCTTCATCGGAACAGATTTGGTGAAATTTAGCATTACATCACTTGCTCACTGATGGATCCAGTGCATTGAATGGTTGCCGTAAGAATGAGAGTCAAAACAGCTGATAAAAACATCACAATAATCCACAAGTAATCCACACGACTCCAGTCCATCCAAACTGTGTGTTTGTAGTAAACAAGACATTAATTGATGGACTGGAGTCATGTGGATTACTTGTGGATTATTGTGATGTTTTTTTCAGATGTTTAGACTCTCATTCTGACGGCACCCATTCACTGCAAATGATCTATTTGTGAGCAAGTGATGTAATGCTAAGTTTCAATGAATAAACAAATTCATATACATCTTGGATGGCCTGAGGGTGAATTTAAATTTTTGGATTAACTATTCCTTTAATTTCTGATTTGATGTTTGTGCTAAATCTTTTTTTAGGATTTTTATCGATTTCAGAAAAAAAAAAAAAAAAGGTCCTCTGTCTTTAATTTGAATATCCTTGGTGTATTGAAACACTGTTTAATTCCCAAAAGGAGAAATTTAGTTTGACACAACAGCAACAGCAGACAGATACTGAGCATAACAGTGTTTTATTAGGGATGACAGAACTGCAATTAGCAGAACTGGTGTTAAATTAAATCACAAGCAGTGTTTAATCAAATCACAGCGAGTTTAACAATATTAAAGTCACTTGCTTGTAGGCTGAGGAGGAAATTTAAAAAGTGATACATGTCAGTCACAACTAGAGGGCGCTTACTTCCAAGATTTACCCTTGAGCATGTCTGCAGTGTTTTGTGTAGAATAATACATTAGGGAAATCTCATTAGGGAACCAATGGAATGCGGATATGGAGATGCTCGTTTGAATAATTTGGCCGCAGTCAAAAACAGAGTAGTAATGGTTCAGTGTGGATTCAGTGCTTGTTTGCAGATATGCTCAGCAATGCCATATTTATCTGCTCTCTGAGCATTAGCTGGTAACATGCCTTCATTGTGCATTGATGTTCAATAAAAAAAAAAATAGGAAAGAAATTCCTGGCAGTGGTTTGTTAGCCCTCCTCTGTAACTCTTTATATAAGCCCATTAGAAAAACAGTAGGCAGGATGCATTCTATTGGACATGCAGTTAATTTATCACCAGTCCAGCACACAGTGCCTGGGTAAAACCAATCAACATGTTCATGACTCCATCTAATGTTGTTCAAGGGTGGGAATGAGTACAGAACAAAGCTTGGTTTTAGATTCTAAACTGAAGATTCATGTATCTGTGCTTGATACAAACAGTAAATGATTTACAGGTTTGCAGCAGCTTTTGAATTACTTTTTGATTTTTAACAAATTTTTGTCAATTTTCTTCCCCTGAATTTTTTCTTTAATATGGAATTTACATGCAGATCAAGGGAACATTATCAATTACATTAACATGATCAATTACATTATTAGGCTTTTTTCTTTCTTTTTTTTAGCAAATTAAAGTTACTTTATTAATAGTTGAAAAATAATAATTAATGACATTATCAATTTCACCAAATTAACACATTAAGCTCACAGCTATGTACACTACCATTTAAACATTTGGACAATATAATCTTATTCTTATTCTTATTCTTATTCTTATTCTTATTCTTCTTATTATTATTATTATTATTATTATAGGTCAGGACCAAAATTCAACAATATTTATTAAAATATTTATTGTCTCATCCAATGTAATATGAGTTGTTTAACGGCTACTGGCTGTATTTGTGTAAAGAAACATCACAGTTATGTCCTTTATCACATTTAACCATCTGTGGTGGCAGTTTTTGTTACTTTCTGCAGCATCTCAGGTTTCCATCACCACTGAAAGAGCCACAAGTGTTCCATTTCAAACACGGGCGGTACACTCTCTTTATGTGTGACTGTACGGCGTGTGGGTGTGTATGGACTGTCATGTCATCTGCCATGCAGTCCTACCAGGAGATGAACATTTAATAACAGCTTTCTCCCAGAGAACAACAAGGACTGTGGGCTCAAACGCTGCTTTGTTTTAAATGCTGTGCTAGGAGTCCAGAAGCTGGTGTGCATCCATTAGATTGATGGGTTAAAATGCGAATAAAAACAAATGAAGGCTGTGATGAATGTGATGTTTGTGTGTAGACTCAATCCACTCAGCAATAAGAGAGGGAGATAAGTGTTATATAAGACGTTGGCCCTGAATCATCTGGCAAATATTAACTTAAATGGCACTTTTGAGCATGAAATGTCAGTCTATAAAAGAGGAGAGATAAAAAAGCACATCCCACACAAAACATATGGCACAAGAAGCATGTTGATGCATCTCTTGTAATGCTAGTAAGGCTCCTCCCCCTCTTGGCATGTGACTACTGTTTCAGCCCCCATTATTCTTGGACATATACTCCGACACACACTGCTGTTTGCCTGTGAGCGCCTTATCAGTGTGTGTTTGACTGTATTACACGCTTCTGCTTAGTTTGACGTTTCTGGGGAGAAGAAGACGCAGAGGATATTAGGAATGATGGGGGCATCTCTGCCTGTGCGCGGGCAGGTAAATGAACATTCTTTAACGTCAATCAAATTTACTGTCATACCAAATCTGCATATTTTTAAATAGGCATTTAATCTTATGAATAGTTGAAATGGTTTAGATGATATTTTCAGATTTCTCTGCTTTCTTTTAAAAGAGAAAAATACATTTTAAATAGGCAGAAATAAGGAAGGAACACTTCTGCTCTGGGTGACTTGTGAATTTTGCAACACGTGTGACTGCTAATCTAAAAATGCATGTAATGTATGCACAGTGAGCCATCAGAAAGATCTGCGTTTGCACAGAGGGTGTGATTTTCAAAATGTTTGTGCACATGTATGTGGGAGAGCGTGAGTCACTGTGGAATGTCAGTGTAATATAGGCAGACATTATATTTATAAAAATAAAAAACTAATTTAATTACAATTAAAGCAGCTCCCTTTATAGAGAGCAGCTTATTCCTACAGTGCAAGCTGTCCATCTACCTGATTTGTGTCTGGTAGTGTGCACTTCACACCAACCCTTCCAATTTACATGGAAAACATCGCCTTGTATTTGCATTTGGCTCGACTGTGGCTTGCTGGAGCAATTTTTTTTCTCTGTGCGGAACATCGCTAGTATTTTACCAGTTATCAAAATAAGGTTCCACACACCAGCAATGTTTGGGAAATGGCTTCAGAAAAGATTCAATGCCGGTGAAAAGTTTGGACACACTTGACTCCGTTTGGTTCTCATTATCAAATAAGAATTTTTGATCTAAAGGCTGAAATGCCTGAAATTTGTCTGTAGACAAATACAAATTGCACCTTATTTTATTTTATTTAATTTTATGATTAAATGAAAAACAACCTACAAGTAACCAGTAAAGAAACAAAAAAATAGATATATAAGATTTAAGAAAATTAAAATATAAGCATATGAGTTATTTGTTTACATTTTTGTCACTGTATAATTACCATACTTCCATTTGTGCTATTTTATAGCTTTAATGACTTTATTATAAAATGTAGAAAATGGTATATTTAAAAAAAATGTTTTGTATATGTATATTTCTTAATTTCTCTGTTTCATGTTATTTGAACTGCTATGGAAGTTGTGTTTGTATCAGGGTAAGGTGTTCTTGTCGTAGTCTCTGTTTGAATACTTAGTCAAACTGGTGTGGCCACATTAACGTCATCTCCCTGCACGACAGTACTGATCTGCATATTTACTGTTACAGAGGGACATGCTTCATCAAGTTGCTCCACACACAAGAACACGGTGGCCCCTTTCCCTGCTTTTGTGTTTGAAAAGACCTGGTCACTTGCCAGTTAAACAGATACCTTTCAACGAGCACTATTGGCTGTGCATTAATTACAGGGATAGTCCCATTGGAGCAACCTGCGCAACAATGCATGGGTCAGTAACTCATGCATGCACTCATGCATGCAGACTTTTTTACTAAAAGCCCAGATTGTAAATGATTAAAGTGCAACCTGCCACTTTAAAAGCAGACAAAAAGCACAAACAACATAATAATCTCGATTTTTACAAGAGAATATGAGTGTTTATGGCCCTAAATGGTTGCAGGGCATCTCCAAGTAGTTCCTGACAAAATGTGGTTGCTGAGGTGTTCTTGATTATCATGCAGATGCTAAAGTGTCTTTAGATGGTTGTCAAGATATTATTTGATTGATATTCTGGTCCCTAAATATTTTTCGGATCCCTTATCTGTTTGATTTAAACATTCGATTTATTGTCTCGCAGGTAGAAAATCATAACCCTGGTTGCTTAGAAAATGAATGGCACAGCCTTCCAAATCAAGCCACATGATTTTGTTATCAGGCATGTTTGTAGCACATGTGCATGATTTCCAACAAACTCCTAACTCTGAGCACTGTGCAATCATTCTTTCCCAAGACATTTTAAGCACCTAAGGACACAGGCCACCGAATGTGTGATGTACCTTCTGGACTAGATCAACTAGATAAACACATTTCAGTGTGCTTCATTTTGACACTTGAAGCAGCATGATGCTGGGTGTTGAGAGCTTGAGGGTGTTTGTATTGTGGTGGTGGGAATGTGCCTTTGATGCTGCTCTGTGGTTGAGCGCCTTTATTTTAAGTAGTAGTTCATTGAGCCGATCTTTCACTGTCTGCCTTCACACATACAGGTGCATCAGTGAAAACACAAGGGAGGTTTCCAGAACTGTTGGAATGTGTGTTTGCGTTCCTCATCTTATCAGAACTGAGCTGTTTCCACATACTGATGGAGGTGAAACTTTCTCAGCGAAAGTCAGTGGCAGCACAAGAAGCGATACAAGTGTGAATTTGTGTTTTGCTGACTATTCAACACTACTGTTAAACCTTTAAGCTGTCCTTTGTTTGTCACGGTGTGAGAGATGCATGTCTGTGCACTGAAACTCGAGGTTATTTGACTGTGATTTACATAAAACGAGGGACATTTGTATAAAGTCTTTGACCTTCACATATCCTCGTGTCTGTGGCTTTTACGAGGATTTTTAGGGAAAGCACTGTCTAATGTTTGTTTTACCGCTCTAGAACATTATTCATGGCGCTGATCCTATGTGATTTATTACCTTGGCAAACGCGCCGTTTTAACTCTTGTTTATGGCTGTTTATAGTAGGTTTCCATTCATCACTGTAATATGAGCCTACATTTACCAAATTGAGCTTTTCTTTTTGCATGCTCTGATGTGAATTTTTGGACGAGAGCCAATTCAATGCTAATGTTGCAAAACAAGATCTCTGATCTCCCTCTTCACGGCCTCCTTGAAACACATTTAGTCCACAGATGCAGATATACTTATGTTTTTCAGAATTTGAGATTTAGTATGAGTGCGAAATATCAGCCAATATTACAGATCATATCGATCGATCTATACAGTATTGGTTGATATTTAATTGTGCATGCTCATTTCCGCTATTCTTACATTTAGATTGTCTTTGCTGTTTTTTTTTTAACTAATAATTTAATAACACTGTTAAATGTAATCTTTAGCAAAACTCTAGATTAATATCCTTTTAAAATACTGTATATTATAATGTTGTGATGCCTAAATTCACTTGAAGTATTAAAAAGGATTGATTTTATTTTTATTTTTAATTTATTTAGTCAAAGTAATATAGAAATTTTATATCAACCATTTATCAGCTATGACATGAAAATAATAATAGAAATTATAACACTTATCCCAAGTCTATATGATATTCTGATCCCTAATCACTTAAAGTCTGTTAGTTTTTTTTTGTGCTCATTTTATCTTCCACTAGATGCAAATCATCAGTCTGATTATTTAGAAAAGCACGGCAATAGTAAGTCCTATCACAAGAAGCATATCAGTTTTCCAAATATAATTGAAGAATTCTGATGCAAAAGCCTCTTAAGTGCCATCTGAAATGTTCTTCTAAAATGAGCATTTTTATCAGGTTTCTATGTTTAGGTTTAGTTATTTCACTTTAATGGCAATGAAAAGGACCTGTTTATTGCCATTAAACTGAATTCTCTGAACCTAAACATAGGAGCCTGATAAAAATGATAATTTTAGAAGAAAATTTCAGACGGCACTTAGAGGCTTTTGCATCTGAATTCTTCAATTTGTCTCAGAAAGGAATATCACATGTTGACTAGAGATCGCTTGTGTCAGACTGATTCTCTTATACCTTGATACTCGAGCCCAGGTTGATTTGAGACTGCAGTTTTGCAATATTATGTTCTTTAAAATGAGCTTCTCTTCAAGAGCCTTTGCATCAGCGAATCGTCTTAGAGGAAGTTAGTGCAGATCTATTTTCATCCTGCTTTTGTGGTTACGAAAATCCACTTTTTCATAATCACACTTTAGGTCAGCTAACAGCTCATTCAGCAGAGAAGTGTCTGAACTATTACTGAAGATGTGATGATTATAATGGGCTTCGATGGCTCCAGGTCAGGTCCATGGAAACCAGAGTTGCGCTTCAACAGGACTTCACTCTGAGAGTGTCTAACAAGCCTGATTCCATCATAGACAAGCGAAACTCTCACTTTGATGCCACAGACCTGCTCACATATACAGCACGTCAAGTTGAGAGTTGATTAAAGTGTTACAGGTATCATAAAGTCATAAAATATGAGGTTCAGATTAAATCATAGTGTTAAAAGTGATCGTTGATAATTAATCATCCTCCTCATTTTGTTCAGTTCTGTCACTGCGATGAAGAGTGAATGATTTTAATGTAGTACTGAGATGTGACCTGCCATTTCCTAGAAAGACAAATGTGGCATCTCAACCAGAGTTTCATGGTGAATTTCTTAGGAATCAAACATGATGTGAGGATATGAAAATGGAAGATGTGCTTGAAATGAAATTACTATGATTAAAAAAAGTGCGGGGTCAGTGAGATTTTTAAAAATGTTTATGAAAGAAGTCTCCTGAAGGCTGCATTTATTTGATGAGAATGCAGTAAAACAGTAATATTGTTAAATAGCATTGCAATCTACAAAGTTTTAAAATGTCATTTAATATATAAACACCATCGTAATTTAATCCTGTGATGCAAAGCTGAAGTTTCAGCATCATTACTCTAGTCTTCAGTGTCACATTATCCTTCAGAAATCATTCTAATATTCTGATTTGCAGCTCAAAAAACATTTATTATTATTTTGTTGAAAACAGCTGAGTAGAATTTTTTCAGGTTTCTTTGATGAATAGAAAGTTCAGAAGAACTGCATTTATCTGGATATGAGGTTCAGATTAAATCATAGTGTTAAAAGTGATCGTTGATAATTAATCATCCTCCTCATTTTGTTCAGTTCTGTCACTGCGATGAAGAGTGAATGATTTTAATGTAGTACTGAGATGTGACCTGCCATTTCCTAGAAAGACAAATGTGGCATCTCAACCAGAGTTTCATGGTGAATTTCTTAGGAATCAAACATGATGTGAGGATATGAAAATGGAAGATGTGCTTGAAATGAAATTACTATGATTAAAAAAAGTGCGGGGTCAGTGAGATTTTAAAAAATGTTTATGAAAGAAGTCTCCTGAAGGCTGCATTTATTTGATGAGAATGCAGTAAAACAGTAATATTGTTAAATAGCATTGCAATCTACAAAGTTTTAAAATGTAATTTAATATATAAACACCATCGTAATTTAATCCTGTGATGCAAAGCTGAATTTTCAGCATCATTACTCTAGTCTTCAGTGTCACATGATCCTTCAGAAATCATTCTAATATGTTGATTTGCTGCTTAAAACATTTCTTATTATCAATGCTGAAAACAGTTGTGCTGCTTAATATTTTTTTTGTGGAAAACTGCTTAATATTTTTCAGGATGCTTTGATTAGCAGAAAGTTCAAAAGAACAGCAATTATTTGAAATAAAAATGTTTTCTAACATTATAAATGCTTTTACTGTTACTTTTCATCAGTGTAATATGTCGTTGCTGAAAACTTTTGAACAGTAGTTTACTATGGCACTGTTGCAAAAATGCATTTTAAGGGATTTTAAATGGATAGTACATTTTTTTTTAATTAAAAAAACACTTATTTTTGTCTCTTTCGTTAGACGATGCAAAGCAAATGTGCATAGGCCAAAGGTGAGGTTTGTTGTGACATTAATGAATGGCATTGCTGTGGTACATGCAGTGTGTCTGGACAAAAGGGGGATTTTTGGTTTTGCATGTGATGTCTTTAAGCTTCTCGAACATTTTTGTGAGCAGTTAGAAGGAAAGAGGAACAGGATGGAGGTTGCAGACTGCCGTCTGTTGTCCTCAATTTAGTTCTCAACTTTTTATGGTCAGTAGAGACTCTCCTGTTAGTTCTGAATGAGTTACTGAAAACTTTTGAACAGTAGTTTACTATGACACTGTTGCAAAAATGCATTTTAAGGGATTTTAAATGGATAGTACATTTTTTTTTAATTAAAAAAACACTTCTTTTTGTCTCTTTCGTTAGACGATGCAAAGCAAATGTGCATAGGCCAAAGGTGAGGTTTGTTGTGACATTAATGAATGGCATTGCTGTGGTACATGCAGTGTGTCTGGACAAAAGGGGGATTTTTGGTTTTGCATGTGATGTCTTTAAGCTTCTCGAACATTTTTGTGAGCAGTTAGAAGGAAAGAGGAACAGGATGGAGGTTGCAGACTGCCGTCTGTTGTCCTCAATTTAGTTCTCAACTTTTTATGGTCAGTAGAGACTCTCCTGTTAGTTCTGAATGAGTTACTCTAATCCTCATTCCAGCTTCTCCAAAAACAAGTCAAAGCACACACACATGCTCACGCACACAAGTTTGTTTGACATTCTCTATTGTGGAGACAATATTCTAACAAGCATATCTCATACCATTCCATGAATGTTTGAAGGACTTACGGCTTTTTCTCAAAAGCAAACAGTTTTAATATTTCCTCATTTCTCATGTTAAACAAAGTGTTGTGTGTCTTAAAGGAGTGCCCTGGCCGACAGGCCGATTGTTAGCCATGCTGCGACAGCAAGAACCCACGGTCAGCACCCTGCATCTGGTGGCTAATGATATGACAGATATCATGGAGAACTTGGACACACGAGAACTCGACATTGGAGATGGGGAAGAAGAGTTTGACGGCCAGGACCCCAATAGTGCAGGTAAAAGAAACCAATAACAGCATAAAATCACTAAATAATCCAAATAAAACTTAAAAAAAAAAAAATTAAATGCTACCATTTGGGGTCAGTTTGGAGCAGCAAATCAGCATATTAGAATTATTTCTGAAGGATCATGTGACGCTGAAGACAGTAATGGCTTCTGAAAATTCAGCTTTGCATCAAAGGAATAAATTACATTTTAATATATATATATATTCAATTAAAAAACTTTTTTTTTTAAATTGCAATAATATTTCACAGTATTACTGTTTTACTGTAGTTTTGATTAAATAAACACAGCCCTTATCAGCATAAGAGACTGCTTTTAAAAACATGACAATCTTACCATTCCCAATCTTTTAAACAGTAGTGTACATAACTGTCAGAAATTAATTTGAAGTATTTTTGTCCACAGAAAACCGCATCCCCTTCTCAGCCGTGTATAAAACAATAGGCTTTAAAGAGCCCGGGGCGCATGTGTTTCTTACTGCGCTTCCCATCACCGCCAAAATCCTGGAGGTGGAACGCTTCACTTCTGCCCAGGATCGCTTCAACATCACCTCCCAGAGAAGCGTCTCTAAGGTGAGATCTCCCACTCCCGTTCCCTTTCATGAAGTGTTAGTATGTGGGCTGAGGAGGTATATTTGTTGCTCGGGAGATTTAGAGGTTTCCAAGGCAATTTACGTGTTGCCCTGGAGATTTGGACACCATATACGAAAATACTTAGCACATGCAAAATAGTTTTTCAGAAGAATAATGATAAAATAATGAATCTAATGAAGACCCATCTCTCATTTTTGGAAATAGTTTGTTAAAGGTTTAAATAGCTGAAATCTTAAAGGAATAATTAATTATTTGCAGCATACAAGTTGAAAAGACATGAGGGTGAGTGAATCATAGCAGAATTTATTTTGTTTATCCTTTTTTCTAATGGCTGTTCATGTATCCAGTCACTTCCTGCAGTGTTTAAGATAGAAATGAGACATGGAAACTTCACCTGGTTGATAAAGAGGAAGGAGAAACATTTTATGGAGCTTCACAGGGAACTACGCACCTACAAGACCTTCCTCAGAATTCCACTGCCGTCCCGCAGGTGACCCGATCTAAAATACTAATTTAAATTATGTAAATTAATATATGTAAATTGTATATTTATATTAGTAATGTATGTAGAGATTAGGCTTATATATACATATATGTTTGTATATATTATATTATATTATATTATACAGTGGGGAAAATATTTATTTGATCCCCTGCTGATTTTGTAAGTTTGCCCACTTACAATGAAATGAAGGGTCTGTCATTTTTATGGTAGGTTTATTTTAACGTATAGAGACAGAATAC